GATTCTCCTGCCTCGGCCTCCTAAGTAGCTAGGACTACAGGCGCCCGCCACCATGCCCAGCTAATTTTTATATTTTTAGTAGAGACGGGGTTTCACCATATTGGCCAGGCTGGTCTCGAACTCCCGACCTTGTGATCTACCTGTCTTGGCCTCCCAAAGTGCTGGGATTATAGGCGTGAGCCACCACGCCTGGCCACAACAAGAATATCTTTAGATAATAATGACTCTACTCTAACCAAGTGCCATGGGAAAAACTGCAACCCTACCCCTTTAAGCAAAGGCTTAGTGGGGGCCCAGATGTCTACCCTCACCTGGCTGTAAATGGGGTCAGAGAGGGCCAAGCGGGAAGCTGGGCCTTTGACCACCTCCCAGCAGTAATAAGCCCTCTTTTAGCCTTGGTGTCAATAGAGGCCACGTGCAGAGTAGTAATAAATCCCAGAATGAGAGGAGAAAAAAAGAAAGGTTGAAAAAGTATTCAAAGAAATAATGGCTGAAAATTCCCCCCCATTTGGCAAAAGACACACACCCACTGATTGAAGAAGCTAAGTGAAAGTCCAAACAGGAAAAATCCAGTTAAACCCAGGCCAAGACATGTCATAATCAAACTTTTGAAAGAAATAAAGATAAAACAAATCTTGAAAGCTATGGGAAATGACTCCTTACCAATAAGAGAGAAGCAATTTGAACCATAGATTTCTCATTAGGCACCACGGAGCCAGAAGCAAGCAGTGTAGTATTTTTCAAGCACTAAAGACAAGAAAAAAATTTGCATTTTGTATTCAGTGAAAATATTCTTCAGGAATGAAGGGAAAATCAAGACATTCTAAGATGAAGGAAAACTAAGAGATTTTGTCACCAGCAGACCTACACTAAAAGAATGGCTAAACAAAGCATTTGAAACACAAAGGAAATGATAAAAAGAGTAATTTTGAAACAACAGGAAAAAAGAAAGAACAACAGAAAGGAGAAAAATATGGGTAAATACAATACACTCTTTCTCCTCCTGAGTTTTCTAAATTGTATTTGACAGTTGAAGCAAAATCATTACACTGTCTGATGTGGTTCTTGATGTATATAGAGGAAATATTTATAACAGTTATAAACAGGGAAAGAAAAGACACTTAAAAAGAAGTAAAGTTTTTAATACTGCGCTAAAATTGGGACAGCTACTCTAAAAAATAGTCTTGCAGTTTCTTAAAAAACTAAACATACTCTTACTATGCCATTTAGCAACTGCACTTCAGGGCATTTATCCAAGAATAATAAAAACTTATTTTAATATAAAAATCAGCACAGAGATGTTCTTAACAGTTTTTATTTGTAATAGCCAAAAACTAGAAAAAAACACAAATGTCCATCAATAGGTGAATGGTTAAATACACTGTGGTATATCAATACCATGGAATACTACTCACCAATTAAAAGGAACAAACAGTTTACATGCAACAGCTTGAATGTATTACATGTATCTCAAGAACACCGAGCAGGGCTAAAATAGCCAGTCTCAAAATGTCACTTATTATCTGCTGCCAGTTATATATTATTCAGAAAATGGCAAAATTATAGAGTGGGAGAACTGATTCGCATTTTCTAGGCATTGGGGGTGGTGGGTGGGAAAGGGTGGGTGTGACAATGAAGAGGTAATACCCTGGAGAGCTTCTTCACTGAACTGTGTTTTTCTTAGAAGGCGTTTCTCTTTTTCTATCTCATGCCAGAGTGCTTTGTGAATGACAGTCATTTCTCAGCTATTGCTAATGACACTGAAGTACTAAAATTTTTATTCAGAGAAGAGCAATTCCTCTAACTTACCAAATTATGGCTCTATATTATTTGACCTCTTAGCAACTGTTATAGCACCAGAATGTGGTAGTTATCATACAGAAAATATAGTTATCTTTGAGATCCTTAAGCTAGGGAGCAGGAGGAGAAAGAATAGCTCTAAGATCAAATGGAAATGTTAAAATATCATCTGGCTTGAGCTCTTTTATCTGAACCTTCTAGGGAGAGCCAGCACTTTGATTTTAGGGACCCAACTCTGCTGCTTGCCAGCACTGTGATCTTGGGCAAGGTATTTAGTACTGCTAAGACTCGGTTTTCCTTAATAATGGTTCTTACAGCATTGAGTTGTTGTGAAGCTTGAGTGAGAGTGTGCACATAATTACTGCCACATAGTAAAAACCTCAAAAAGAATCAGCATTTAAAAAATTTTTAATATCCTAAAATTTTTGAAATTGAGTAATTTGCTCATCACAGTTTTAGGTGACTATGATCTTTACAGGTGTCAAAGGACATTTGTCTAGACCATGAGTAGGAGAAAAATTAACCTAACTGAATGGGTGGCTCTGTCACTACTTATGAGGATAACTATCTAAAACGGGGGTTTGAATTAGCTAAACACCCTGGTGTCTTTTTGTTCAAAAATTACTCAGGTAATGTCAGCAATTATTTGCTTTGCAACCATTGCCTGCATGACTCCCTGGAGATCTACAAAGATTATAGTCTGGAGAAAGTAAACTGTCTTCTGGTTACACTATGTCCCTGTCACTCCAACAGCCAATGATAATTATATACCTGGTACCTATGTGTGATGGAAATGAGAAAGGGGACAGGAAAGAGACACCCCTGCCCCTCATCGTAGGCTAAGCCCTGGGTTCTCAGTGTTTCTGAGCAACACTGCAAGAACTGGTGTTATTGTTCCATTTTAGAAACAAGGCCACTCAGTAAGAGTTGAAATAAAATTGAACTCAATCTATAAAGCTCTTGCTCATTGCCATATAGGGCTTAGCCTGTCTATTAGTAAAAAAGTAAAAATAAAAATACTTAATACACACACATGCACACATTGTAGAGGCACGTCTGCGTGTTATACGCAGGCTGCATCCTACTCACACCATTGACGTTGGTTGCCCGTCAACGTTGCTCTAATAGTCCTCTGCTAATTGGGAATGTTCACAGTTCGGATGCTTTTACATTGCAGGGGGGTTGTGGGGAACAATTAAATGTCTAGAGTCTGCTAAGGATTATTAAGTGCTAGCAATTGCCCTCTCAGGTAATTGCTTTTGAGCCATAAAGGGACAGTTAAATAAGCACTTCCATTTTAATATCATTTTGAAGAGATAAAAAGGATTCTAAAATTCCATAGTGTCTAAATTTGGTACTGCTGTTCAGGAGGTGAAGAAACTTTATAGTCATGTGCTTTTTATAAAGGGATAATTGCCTGCTTCAAAAACTTCTTTAGTTAGAATTTTTGGGGGTAAGCTGTAGAAGCTCCACAATGAAGGAGACCCCCTTTTCCAGCCAGAAATGAATTCCCTGCCCAGGAAGTCTGTCCCCCATGCAGCCAGACTCTGGAAAGGGGCTGGGAACTGGGGAAAAGCACGTTTCAAGGCAGAAGGAAGGACGTTTGCAAAGCCCCAGAGATGAGAACACAAGGACACTCGGAGTTTCCTTTGCCTGGGCCGAGCACTGGAGCCGGGGCTGGGGCCGAGCATGTGGGTACTAAAGACAAGATGAGGAACTTGGATGTTAAGGGCAACGGAGGATACTGACTGCCCTTACTGTATAGGTGTTTGTTTACCTCTTCTCCTGTTTTAATATTTACATAGGTCATAATGGTCCCTTCAGTGTAAGGGCAGTCAGTAACCTCCGTTGCTTGGCCCAGGCAAAGGAAACTCCCTGAGTGTCCTTGTGTTCTCATCTCTGGGGCTTTTCAAACGTTCTTCCTTCCGCCTTGAAATGTGCTTTCCCCCAGTTCCCAGCCCCTTTCGGCTGGCCGACTCCTACTAATTCTTCAAGTTTCTACTTGACTGTCATTTCTCTAGCAAGTCTAATTCCAGGACTGGTTTAGTGTCCAGCTATGATTCTCCACACCACCTTATAATTTATTTTGCATAGCATGTATGCCCTATTGTGATTTATTGTAAATGATTCTGTGTCCAGTTCCTCACTTAAGCTGTATTCTCTGTAAAGGAATGCCCCGGTCTCATTTACTTCTCAACCTCATTGCTTGGAATATCCTAGGTGCTGAGTACATGAGTGAACCAGGACACGCACCCAGGATATCCTGAGCAGAGCTTATATCAAATAAAGAAATCACATTAAAAGGATTAAAATATGAATTAATATGAATTAATAAACTCTTGGGTATGTGGGGAAGGTGGCCTAGAAAATTCACAATGTGATCTCATATGAGGACAGAATTACACAGTATTTTTTAGCATTAAATTTTGAATCCTCAGTGATAGGCTTCATTGCAGATTCAAATATAGTTGTCACTTTTTAAAGTAGAGTAAGATGCTTCAGGTCTGTGTTTTTCAACTTTTCAAGCCCTTTGTCCATTCTGATAAACCAAACAAGTTCACACTCTTACCCCTGCCCCATCGCATTTGACAGTGACTATGGAGGGGCTTCTTCCGCATATTCCCACCAGCCAAGGTTTTATTTAGTTAGTTGTTAGAATATTGAATATGCTTTTTCATGGCCAGGCGCAGGCACAGTGGCTCACGCCTATATTTCCAGAATTTTGGGAGGCCAAGGTGGGCAGATCACCTGATGTCAGGAGTTTGAGACCAGCTTGGCCAACATGCTGAAACCCTGTACCTACTAAAAATACAAAAATTAGCTGGGCATGGTGGCGAGAGCTTGTAATCCCAGCTACTTGGGAAGCTGAGGCAGGAGAATCACTTGAACCCGGGAGGCGGAGGTTGCAGTAAGCCCAGATTGGGCCACTGCATTCCAGTCAGGGTGACAGAGAGAGACTCTGTCTCAAAAAAAAAAAAAAAAAAAAAAGAGAGTATTGAATATGCCTTTTCAATTTATGACAGTCTCAGAGGTCATATATTTTTCTCCACATCTCGTAAACTCCAGTGTTCAAAATAAAAAGAGACTCATGTATTTTCTGAATGAAACTGTGTACCTCAAAGGTGTGTATTTTTTACTTGTAGGATTCTTCTTATCCTTTTGCAGTTGTCCTCTAATGATTGAGTTGTCTTCTAAACCAGGTGCAGTTACATGATAGACAATGTGATTCTGCTGATGAATGGTGCATTGCAGAAAAAATCTGTGAAGGAAATTCTGGGGAAGTGCCACCCCTTGGGCCGTTTCACAGAAATGGAAGCTGTCAACATTGCAGAGACACCTTCAGATCTCTTTAATGCCATTCTGATCGAAACGCCATTAGGTAGGAACACTTAGGTAATTTGGTAGCTGCTTGTGTATGTTATCACAGTCATTAGAAAATGTACTATTTTTTCTTCCCTGTGGTCCAAAGGAAAATGTACTTTGATTTCACAATTTTTTTTCCATGTATACAGTAGCATACTATGCAGATTCCCGGAAGTGGCAGAGACATTAAGGAATCATCTAGTTCAGCTCCCTCATTTTTCAGATGAGGACAAATGAAGCAACCTGCTCAGATCACATGTGAACCATTTGTAGTAGAGAAGGAATTGGGGCTCATCTCTCAACATTCAAACCCTTCACTTTATACCAGGTCATAGCAAATAAATAATAGAACTTGTCATTCTTCAAAAAAATGTAATTTTCTAGCTTGGTTTTATAGGATTAGTTTCTTGTCCTTCCATTTAAACTTCTGTCTAGATATGGTTGCATATAGGAAGCATTTTGTTTCGGGAAGTTTAAAAATGTCATTTTTCTGAGATGCTCAAGAGCATGACTGAGATGTCAAGTCATCAGAAGCAATGATGAAATGATTGTTAATTTCATTATAATTTGGCACTAACAAGAGTTGTAGTATTCAAAATGCTAAAGAGATAATTGTATAAGCATCATTATCTAATATTGTCAGGAAATCTGGATAGTAGCAATTCACTATTGATCATTTGTCAAAATAGTTGCTGTTTAAAATAGGTATTTTAAAAAGGAAAAAAAAATATTTGTGTCATCATTAAGCACCCGATGCTGAGATACCATAGGCTAGTCTAGAGAGGTTGAGACCGCAATCAGACAGGCATGAGCATGAAGCCAGGCTCTGCCCGGTCCCAACAAGGTGACTAGGAGCAATTCAATTCATCCCAGTTTCCTCATTTTGGAAATAATCATGTCTTTTTATAACAGAGTTTTAAAAATAAAACACAATTTAAGTACAACTCCATGCTTGGCACATACTAAAGTTGCAAATAATAAATATTATCATTAGATAGTAGAGGAGGGGGGACTTCCAAAAAAGCCTTAAGTGAATAGCTCCAAGGTGTTGTGAAGATTAAGTGAAAGTATATTCAGTGTGTAGTGTAGTGAGTGAGGTTTAGTAGTCCTCAACCTTTTGGGCACCAGGGTCTGGTTTCGTGGAAGACAACTTTTCCAACATGGGAGAGAGGGGATGGTTTCAGGATGATTCAAACACATTACATTTATTGTGCACATTATTTCTATAATTACTACATTGTAATATCTAATGAAATAATGATACAACTCACCATAATGTAAAACCAGTGGGAGCCCTGAGCTTATTTTCCTGCAATTAGACAGTCCCATCTGTGGGTGATGGGAGACAGTGACAGATCATCAGGCATTGGACTCTCATAAGTAGCGTGCAAACCTAGATCTCTCACATGCACAGTTCACAATAGGGTTTGCTCTCCTATGAGAATCTAATGCTGCCACTGATCCAACAGGAGGCAGAGCTCAGGTGGTAATGCAAGCAATGGGGAATGGTTATATAATTATAATTACAGTTGAAGCCATTCTCTGGCCCACTATTCACCTCAATTCCTAACAGGCCACGGACCGGTGTTGGTTTGTGGCCTGCGGGTTGGGGCCCCCCGGTTTAGGGCTTACACATGATAAATGCTTAAAAAGTAATAAGTGCTTTCATCCTCATTACTATTAGCCTTATTTAGTTGAGTGTATGGATTGCAACTCTGCAGTGTTCTTGTCAGGAGTGAGCAGAGGGTGGTGTGTTCAGGATACATTTTCTACAGTTTATAATCTTGCTTAAGATTCATTTTTTGGTATGGCAATTTCTGCTTTCAGCTCCGTTCTTCCAAGACTGCATGTCTGAAAATGCTCTAGATGAACTGAATATTGAATTGCTGCGCAATAAACTATACAAGGTAATGGTTTTCCCAAATATTGCGTTTTTCTTGATTACACAATATATTGTGACTAGTGTTCTCTAATAAAAGTTACGTTGCTCATTAACCAACTTCTGCAATTATGAAACTGTGCATATTTGGAATATAACTTTTATAGTTCTGGCCTATTCTCTAGTTAAATGCATGCATGTCAGCTTCCCCTAGCCAGCAAGATATTTGAGAGGAAATAACATGCCCTATTCTTCCATATTCCCAGCTCCTTGCATGGTATCTGGAACATAAAAGGTGTTTGGATGGTGGTAGGTGAATAAGTGGGATGAACAATATCAATCCATTTAAAGCAACCAGCACACATAGTAAACCTTCTGTTATGCAGTGTTCATCTCTGACCTCAATCTTGTTAGTATCCCTGAATCTCACAGCTAATCTGCCCACACAATTTTAATCTACAGTGTGCAGCATACCAGAATGAACAATTTGTGTACACTGCATCATAGGTACCACTTTGCATAATCTGATTGTCTGTCTGGACTGTGCTGCCACCATTTGAGTAGCTGTATATACTATAGACTGAGCAAAATCTGTCCATTTTTACTCAATTAACCATAGCCTCTTTGGACACTCACACAGAGTAACTGAATATATACGGCCATGCCATATACATGGCATCCTGTGTTCAAACTTGTGGTCCTTTCAAAAGCGTATTGCAGGCAGTGTTCCTTTTGGTGAAGTGACTTATGGGCCTAGAGGAGGCATCTTTGAGATATAACTAACAGAAGGCACTGTTCTAAGTAATTTATAGGCCTTAACTCACTTAATCCACCTGGCAAAAATATGATGTTTATGCTATCTCCATTCCTCAGAGGAGAAAACTGAGGCTTGGAGAGCCAAGGTTTCTTTGGAAGAAGTCAGTTAGCTAAAACGTATTAGAGTTGGGATCCAAACTCAGGCAGTCTGACCCTACAACCTTTCCCATATAGCTCCAAGCTCAAAGCTGTCCCAAATGTGCCTCTATAAGAGATTAAATGTCAGCATAGGGCTGAATCTAAAATTATTCACTGATCTCAGAAAAGAACTTGGCACTCTTGTTAAAATAGCAAGAATTAACCATATGAAATAATCCAAAACCATGCAAAAAAAGTGCTAGTTAAGTAATTATAAGTTATGATAAATGCAGTTTTGTCCTTTTCTGGATTTCCTTTTTAGTCTGTGCAACATGCTGCAATATGAAAGCTTCTACCAAATTTATTATAAAATATCTCCCTATGGGAGATGTAATTCAATTTCCATTAAAGCATTTGATAAACCATGAAAAGCTGATCTAGAAATTTTCAAAAGGAATATATATATTCATTATATCACTTTATGATCTTTTTTCTTTTTAAGTCTTACCTTGAGGCATTCTATAAATTCTGTAAGAATCATGGTGATGTCACAGCAGACGTTATGTGTCCCATTCTTGAGGTAAGAAAGAGTCCTTGAATTTTGTTATGCTATATAAGGTGCTTCCATATTTTTTATTGTTTTAACCTTACTTAAATTTCCTTATCTTTGAAGTTTTTTTTTAATCTAGAAATAAGACAAGCAGTACATTTTACTATATATATTATTTGATGTATTTGGTTAAGAGTTGTATTTTCCAACTCTTTAAGTTGGAGCCTGGAAGTTTTCTACATGGAAAAGTTATCTTGGAATTAGAAAATAATAATGCTTACACAGATTAGGCTATGATTCATTTTGATGTAGTATGTAAAAAATAGATTATAAACAATAAAAATTTAGTATACTGTTGTTACTGGAAAAGAGTCCCACCCCAGACCCCAACAGAGGGTTCTTGAATCTCAGCAAGAAAGAATTTGGGTCTATAAAGTGAAAGTAAGTTTATTAAGAAAGTAAAGGAGTAAAAGCATGGCTACTTCATAGGCAGAGCAGCCCCGAGGGCTGCTGGTTACTTGTGTTTATGGTTATTTCTTGATTATATGCTGAACAAGGGGTGGATTACTCATGTCTACCCTTTTTAGACCATATAGGGTAACTTCCTGACATTGTCATGGCCTTTGTAAACTGTCATGGTGCAGGTGGAAGTGTAGCAGTAAAGAGGACCATGGTCACTGTTGGTTTCGTAGGTTTTAGCAGGCTTCTTTACTGCAACCTGTTTTATCAGCAAAGTGTTTATGACCTGTATCTTATGCCAACCTCCTATCTCGTCGTGTGACTTAGAACGCCTAACCATCTAGGAATGCAGCCCAGTAGGTCTCAGCCTTATTCTACCCAGCTCCTATTCAAGATGGAGTTGCTCTGGTTCAAATGCCTCTGACCCTATGAGTAATGAATGGACTATAGACACTCAATAATGACCCAAATTCCCTCTGGTGAGGGAACATTGAGTAGTTGGGAACCCCCACAACTTGGCACCAAAAGTCCACTATAACTTCATCCACAGGGACATTGTACCTTATAAATCCTAAAATAAAGGCTGCCCCAAGCATCCCATGAGCATTCCAGCTTTTGGCAGGAAGACCCCTTAGCTATGTGATTCACAGTGGGTAAGCTCATTTAATTACGTGTCAAACGCCACCATGGGTATCTACCTCTCTAGGTGATGTGATACTCTTGTTAATTCCTCTTAAGGACTACAGATTTCATCTATGCTTAGGAGTCCTCTTGCATAAGAATATTGACCCACAAATGCATGGGAGATTCAGGGCAGAGATCAGAAGGATTTGTGGGGCATCCTGCACATAATTTGCACTGAGTACTTTACATCTATTCCTCTTGCTAGTAAATAATTTTCTAATTCACTTAAAAAGAAAAAAATATCACTTTGGGCTTTTATAAGCCCTTACTTTGCCCTGTGAAACTACATTTTATCTAAAGAATATTTTTCATCATTACATTATCTGGTACAGTGACTTCACTGGTGGGTGGAATTCTGATTTTGAGAAAAGCCTAATAAGCATTACCCTTTAGGTAAGAAGAAAAAAAATTAACTTCATTTGCAAATATTTCAACCTAATGCTCTGAAACCACATATGATAAAATTAGCTCCCCTCAAAACATCTAATCATTAAAATTTTACTTGCTTGATGACTGGTGATATAGAAAAAAGAAACAAAAAGTTTTATAGTTGAAAATATTCTGCTATTCCTTATTGAGATTTTGTTTGTTGTTTTTGAGATGCGGCCTCACTCTGTTACCCAAACTGGAGGAGTGCAGTGGCATGATCATGGCTCACTGCAGCCTCGACCTCTTGGGCTCAAATGATCCTCCCACCTCAGCCTCCTGAGTAGCTGGGACCACATGCCCATGCCACCATGCCCAGCTAAGTTTTTTATTTTTTTGAAAAGACCAGGTCTTGGCTGGGCATGGTGTCTCATACCTATAATCCCAGCACTCTGGGAGGCCAAGGTGGGTGTAGCACCTGAGGTTGGGAGTTTGAGACCAGCCTGACCAACATGGTGAAACCCTGTCTCTAATAACAAAACAAAAAAAAATTAGCCGGATGTGGTGGTGCACGTATGTAATCCCAGATTCTTGGGAGACTGAGGCACAGGAGGCATGAAGGTCGAACCTGGGAGGTGGAGGTTGCAGTGAGCCGAGATTACGCCACTGCACTCCAGCCTGGGCGACAGAGTGAGACTCCATCAGAAAAAAAAAAAAAAGAAAGAAAGAAGGAAAGAAAGAAAGAAAGGAAGAAAGAAAGAAAGAAAGGAAGAAAGAAAGAAAGAAAGAAAGAAAGAAAGAAAGAAAGAAAGAAAGAAAGAAAGAAAGAAAGAAAGAAAGAAAGAAAGAAAGAAAGAAAGAAAGGAAAGAAAGAAAGAAAGAAAGAAAGGAAAGAAAGAAAGAAAAAGAAAGAAAGAAAAGAAAAGAAAAAAAGATGAGGTCTATTTATGTATTTATGTTGTCCCAGCCTGAAATTCTTAAAATAAAGCCTAAATAATTATGAAGTGAAAATCTTATCATTAAAGATCTCCAAAAAATATTTTTGTCCTTATCTATATTGTACAGAAAGTGGATATTGAATAAATAAATAACATTTTTAAGGCATAGTAAATGACAGAATGAAAAATAGTCTCTCTCAGTCATGCTAATCATGCAACATGAGTAATTAGTGACCCTATGAAGCCTTACCCTTTCTTTTCATAAATTCAGCTACTAGCCACACTATAAGAATCTGTATTATCTATGGCTCAAAAGTAGAATTTCTACTCAGCATAATTCTTGTGGTTTAGAAATGGTTTCTGTACTTTCTACCTGTGAAATATGTGAAATAAAAGTTATATGAAGACTCAAAACCTTATCAAAGGTATACAATAGCACTATTGCTGAGTGCTTTATATACATGAATTCACTTAGACTTCAAAACCACACAGAATAGGTAGTCTAGTATCTGTTTTTCAGAAGGAGCAACTGAGGCACAGAGAAGGCTAGTAACTTACCCTGTGTCTCACAGCTAGTAAGTCAGGATTGGAATGCAGGCAGTTGGCTCCGGTACTTATGTGCTTATCCACTGTGCCATAGTGCCTCTGCATTAAATTCACCATTCACAATTCTTTTATATAAACATAAATGCTAATTCATAAGCAAGATCATACTGTGTACTATAAGAATTGGTAAATAGGTAAGGTAAGAATTCTGTCTTTGAATAGGTAAGAAATAGGTAAGAATTATGTCTTTGTAATCCTCGGTAATGTAAAAAAAAAAGATAGTATCAGAAAAATGCTTACCACTGGGATGATATGATCAAATTATGATATGCCCAGTGTTCTCATTGTACTTTTCCAATCTTCATGGTATCAGATTAATTAGTTGTTTGTTTCAAACAGCGTTAAAAAAGAATGCAGCTAGGCATGGTAGTTTATGCCTGCAATCCCAGCACCTTGGGGGACCTATGCAGAAGAATTGCTTGAAGCCAGGAGTTTGAGACCAGCCTGGACAACATAGCAAAATCCCACCTCTACAAAAATACAGAAATTAACCAGGCCTGGTGGAACACACCTATAGTCCTGGCTACTCAGGAGGCTGAGGTGGGAAGATCACCTCAGCCCAGAAGTTCCAGGTTCCAGTGAGCCATAAACCACCTCACTCCAGGCTGGGCGACAGAGTGAGATCCTGTCTCTAAAAAATAAAAATAAAAATCCATTGAACCATTTTTATTTATATAGAAATATCAGCTACATAGGGCATGGAGTTAAAACGTTTATAATTATATGATCAAAGGGTGTTTGTCAGTTTACATAAATACTTTCGATCGTGTAATTACCTCCCTTTTATTTTTGTAACTATAGAGCACTTACTATTTATAAATTCCATGTATATTCTCATTTACTCTCATTTGGCCGGAGACTTAATATGGTAGAAGAGACCATTAACCTCAGCTTACATGTGAAAATCTGACCTAATTACAAGATTATAACTTCATATGAAAAAAAAAGAAATTGACTTATGTTCAAGGCAAATGCACTGTAGTATAATATTTGCCTTTTACTCCTACTCTTCAATCTTATGGTTAATAGGGCAGTGAAAAACAAGCACAAAATATGTTTGTTTAATCTCTACTGGTCAGTGTATGCTGATAAGGCTGGGCTCCATTCCAGTTCACTTTACTCTTTTCCATTGCCACTGACACCTCCGCCTACTGCCTCCTGCCAGGTGTGCCCTTCTTCCCAACAGTATATTGCTATCTCTTGCAATAACAACAAAAAATAAGGTCTAGTTTTAACATGAGTATGTTTTTATAGGGAAGAGTAAAAGGAAAGGTACAGGACTACCAACATACACCATACCACACAGCATGCCAACTCTCTGCAAGAAACAGGAGCTAAGTCACACTACACCAGACCATTCGGTCTCCTCTAATCAAATGCGTGTCAAACTCTGCTTGGGGATGGTCAAAGAACAGTCCTTTTCCAATTCTAAAATGATGGGTTTTTTCCCTAAGAGGATAATATACACACCCAAAAGAGCCTCTAGACTAGAAAAGTAAGGTAGATACATAGTTATGATAAAAGGAAAATGGAATGTAATCAGGGTTCAAAGGGAATCATATCCAATTAGAGAAGAAATGGAAGGACTTCTTATGAAAAAGATGACAATTGATGGGACGCGAATGCAGGGAGGATTTCGGCATGCAGAGTTATGGAAGAGAGCACATGTGTGGTAGGCTAAGGGAAGAAGTGGTAACAAGGACAAGAAGGTAGTGAGAAGATGGGGGGCTCTGATAACCTGTATCAGCCAAAGTCCTTTCTTCTTGTATTCATATTCTCTCCCCAGCTATCTGTCCTTCCCACTTCTCCAATTGCTTTTCCAATGATTGAGCGATGACAATTCCTCCAAAACATCCTGTTTTACTTCCTGCAGCTCCCTCCTCCAACCTGGCCTCTGCTGTTTGCATGTCTGCAATGCTGCCTACGTTGCCCTAATTCTCTTATAAGATCATAACATTTTAGAATCAGAGAGCACATTAAAGAACATCTGGGACAATTACCTCCATTGTTGCTCTTGCTGCCCTAATTTTTGTCTGAAGTTTTCTTATTGCCATGAAATCTTCCTCTTGCATTTCTTCTCTTATCCCTAGAAGGTCTAAAATTACTGACAGGACTGGTTATATTCAGTAGCCAGAGACAGCTGCCTTTGCTTCCAAATAAAGCCACTCCCTACTTTTCAGCTCACCCATAATCTCCATGAGAGCAATCAAAAGGATCAGATGGAACTAACTCTCACTCTCCTGATAGAAAACACCTGTTCTTACATAACAGTTCCGGTGAAATCTGTTGCAAGTTGGGTTTTGTTATCGGTTAACCAGTCAAAAGCTGATTAGAGGATAGCACAGCAATTCTTTTCAGCTTTCATGTGCATACGGATAGCCTGGGAATCCTATGAAAATGCAGATTCTGGTTGAGTAGGGCTGGACTGTGGCCTGAGACTCTGCACTTCTAACAAGCTTCCAGGTGACGTCAAAGCTACTGAGCCACAAAATATTGCTTTGAATAGCAACATTATGGAGAATGTTGGAGAATTTTCAAAGTATTAGGGGATCACACATCACTCTGTTGGATTCAGTAAGTACTTAAGACTTTCTTATGTGTCAGGCACTGGCTATTAAAAAAGGAACAAAAGGCTGGGCATGGTGGCTCATGCCTGTAATCCTAACACTTAGAAGGCCCAGGAGGGAGGATTTCTTGAGCCTAGGAGTTCATGACCAGCCTGGGCATTATGGCAAAATCCCATCTCTACAAGAAAAATTAGCCAGGCATGGTGTCACATGCCTGTAGTCCCTGCCACTTGGGAGGCTGAAGTGGGAGGATCACCTGAGCCCTGGGAGGTTGAGGTTGCAGTGACTCCTGACCCCACCACTGCACTCCAGCCTGGATGAGAGAGTGAGACCCAATCTCAAAAGAAAGAAAAAAAAAAAGAACAATGAAGTGGGGAGAAACACAGGCACAGATTTCAAAATGAAGTGGTAAGTACTGGACATTTGCAGTACCTAGAGAATTGCTGCTTAGCCCAAGGAAACCATGGCAAGCCCCCACAGTAGGTAGAGGAGGAGTCCCTGAAGGAGAGACTGAGATGGAATGGCCAGAGTCGATAGGAGGAGAACCAAGAGACAGTAGAAACATGGAGCTCAAAGGAATATAAATGAAATTTCAAGAAAGACTTGAGGGGTCAGATGAAATAGGAATGATGGAGGGATGGGAGCCCAGGTGCCTAGTTCAGCACAGAGAAGACAGGCTGTTAGTATGTGTTGACCTATCTTGAAGATCGTTAGCCACACTCCAGCATCTTACAAAGAAGAAAACTTCTTGAGAGAAACATTACTTGTCCCACCCCACATAGTTCTTAGCTAGTCTTAGATTTATTCATACCTCACCTAGGACACTAACAAAGAAAACCAAAGGCATGAAAGTATAAACAAATGGTAGGTAGCACAAAATTTCATTATGTAAAAAGTTATGCTGACATTGACAACTAGGAAGCGATATTAACATGTATGGCATGCACTTTTTGTTCCAAATATCATTCTAAGCACTTCCACTTATATTACCTGGTTCTGTACCTGAATGAACCCTAAGAAATAGGTATTATTCTCCTTTTTATAGAAGAGACACTTGCGACGCTGGTGGCCTAATGTGACAGAGACACGTGAGGAATTCATTGCAGGGTGCCCGGGAAATAAAGCTTACTGGGGTTTCAGGAGTCATAGGTCATCATTGCTGCTGTGTGATCCTTCTCTGGCAAGCAGAGTTACTCCATTACAAGAAAAGACTAGGGGAACACTAATAACACATGTCTGGAGTATAATTAGACATAGATCCAGAAAGGAAAGCAAATCATTTCAGAAATGAATTTGTGTAGTTAAGAGTCTGTTTATAGCATTTAGCAGTTTATTAGATTTTACTGGTTTTTGTCTTGCAAATTCAGTTTGAGGCCGACAGACGTGCTTTTATCATCACTCTTAACTCCTTTGGTACTGAATTGAGCAAAGAAGACCGGGAGACCCTCTATCCAACCTTCGGCAAGCTCTATCCTGAGGGGTTGCGGCTGTTGGCTCAAGCAGAAGACTTTGACCAGATGAAGAACGTAGCAGATCATTACGGAGTATGTGATGACCCTGGCTTCCCTAAGTCCCTTGTGTTAATTCATTTCCATGTGCTTTAGAAGCTCACACATTAAATGTCCACTTACACTCAAAAGAAGTAATAACATTTGTAAGGTAGCAAGCAGTGCTGAAGCAAGCTTCAGCAAGGGACACGTTAAGTTTTTAGCCCAAGCTGCTAATTTTTAAGGTTCCTGCCAAGCAAGTACTTGTTTAAACCTCCGGGGAATGGTCATCTGAGCACTCCTTTTGAAGTGTTTGATAAAGCAAGTTCCCCCAGGAGACTGGTGGAGTGTTCTGGAAATGTGAGCTCATATCAACGTTATGTAAAATAGTCTGATCCAGCAGCCCTTTCAGGTACCCACTAAGGAAACAAGGTTAGGCACAGAACGTCCAGGTGGACTGCAAGGAAGGATATGGATGTATTAGTTTTTCCACTCACCTTGCTGAGTGGCCAGAAATCAGGAGAGGAAAGACAGCTGCTTGTGTCCTTCCCCCACTCCAGCATCCAGTTGCTCTTGGAGCACCTAAAACACCTCAGCTTAAGGTTGTACGCGTCGGCTCAGCTTCCATTCCCTCTGACTTGCACAGAGTTACATAACCTCCAGGTAACTTTTCCAGGGCTAGAATGACACTCATCTTTTCCTGTGGGGTTCTGAAGCACTCCAGGAAAGATGAAAGTCAGCAAATGCATAAACTTTGTGACATCTCATAAGTAATTGCGTGAGACTCTTTAGCACAATATGAAAATTTGAATTTCTCCCACATTCGACCCCTTCCACACTGGAAATCGCATGTGAATTTTATCAATTTTCATCTCAAAGAACCTGTGAGCCCATACCGATCAAATCATGAGCATTCACTGAGCTTCTATAACGTACCTAGCTAGCCCCAAGACCCTGAGTGAGAAAATGAGTTCAAACACTGTATACTGAGAGTTGAATTGCCTTGTAGCCCTAAACAAGCCAGTAGGCTAGAATTTCATCCTCACTCTTGTTATTTGGATTTTTTGTTGTTTCTTTGGGAGGCCAAAATCCTATAAAAAAAAACCTTCAGTCCTCCTGGTATAGTTTTTTTTCTTAAATATGTGTGCAATTTCTATAATGCTAGGAAAAATATACTTACATACATTTATAAGAAATGAAAATGTATTTAAAATTAACGTTTTTGTTTTTAAGGTATACAAACCTTTATTTGAAGCTGTAGGTGGCAGTGGGGGAAAGACGTTGGAGGACGTGTTTTACGAGCATGAGGTATGATAAGTGAAAATGCTATTAGCTTATTTTTCTTTTACTGTGGATTTTATATATTTTCTTACTTTGGATTTTCTTTTTACAACTGATCATGTCAATTGATTAGGCACATTCGTAGCCTGATAAGCAGTTTTACTGTATTATTACTACAAAGTTACACACACACCTAGGAATCTTCATGCTAGCAGTGCTGCTAAAGTTTGGAGCCTTTCTTTTTTCTTTTTTTTCCCCCTTCTAAAAGAGTTTACTTAAAAACTGCAGGAATTAATGGAAGTACATTCCATTCCTCATGGAATTTGCTGAAGAACGTTATTACAAATGCTACAAATTTTAGTGTAAAATTTTGGTTAATCATACGAGATAATGTTTCTTTTTTTAAAAAAAAAATTATTATACTTTAAGTTCTGGGATACATGTGCACAACGTGCAGGTTTGTTACATAGGTATACACGTGCCATGGTGGTTTGCTGCACCCCTCGACCCCTCATCTACATTAGGTATTTCTCCTAATGCTATCCCTCCCCTATGCTCCCCCCTGCCCCCGCCACCAACAGGCTTCAGTGTGTGATGTTCCCCTCCCTGTGCTCATATGTTCTCATTGTTCAACTCCCACTTATGAGTGAGAACGTGTGGTGTTTGGTTTTCTGTTCCTGTGTTAGTGTGCTGAGAATGATGGTTTCCAGCTTCATTCATGTCCCTGCAAAAGACATGAGCTCATCATTTTTTATGGCTGCATAGTATTCCACTGTGTATATGTGCCACATTTTCTTTATCCTGTCTATCATTGATGGGCATTTGGGTTGGTTCCAAGTCTTTGCTATTAGGAACAGTACCGCAATAAACATGTGCACATGTATCTTTATAATAGAATGATTTATAATCCTTTTGGTATATACCCAGTAACGGGATTGCTGGGTCAAATGGTGGTGTTGGTTCTAGATCCTTGAAGAATTGCCACACTATGTTCCACAATGGTTAAACTAATTTACACTCCCACCAACAGTGTAAAAGTTATCCTATTTCAATTTGGAGCTTTTCTTGTGATTCTACTTTAATAACTTCCATTGTCTACATTTATCTGCAGAGTGACACTCTCCATTTAGAACTTTCTGAGTTGTCACCATACTCCTCTATTAGGCCCAATTTAGAGATTGCTTATTTAAACACAAATAAGCACTGCACATGTACAAGCCAGTCAGCAGCTTAATATTATTTCATAATGTTCCAAATAAGTTGATGATCTGTGTTACTTTTTTTCTTTCCTCAGGTACAAATGAATGTGCTGGCATTCAACAGACAGTTCCACTACGGTGTGTTTTATGCATATGTAAAGCTGAAGGAACAGGAAATGAGAAATATTGTGTGGATAGCAGAATGTATTTCACAGAGGCATCGAACTAAAATCAACAGTTACATTCCAATTTTATAACCCAAGTGAAGTTCTCAAATGCAGAAAATTATAAATGTTGAAAGGAAGTTATTGAAGAAAATAAAAGAAATTATGTTGTATTATCTAGACTACACAAAAGTAAGCCACACTATATCTTCTTGAGCTGCAAATCCATGGAAACACAGTAAGCCAGCCCTGAAACAAAGCATTTCCTTACTCTCAGTGGCATTAGATCTTGTTTCCACATGTCTGTCTCATTCTTCACTGGGTCTTACAGGTTAATTTTAATTAACCCTATGGTATTTTTCTTTTTTTTTTTTTTTGAGACAGAGTCTCGCTCTGTCACCCGGGCTGGAGTGCAGTGGCCGGATCTCAGCTCACTGCAAGCTCCGCCTCCCGGGTTCACGCCATTCTCCTGCCTCAGCCTCCCGAGTAGCTGGGACTACAGGCGCCCGCCACCTCGCCCGGCTAGCTTTTTTTGTATTTTTTAGTTGAGACGGGGTTTCACCGTGTTAGCCAGGATGGTCTCGATCTCCTTTCTTGTTTGATCATGTTAAAAATTGGACCTAATAAAAGTATTTTATTCATGCTTTTCCATGCTTCGCTACAGGTCCAAATACTGAATGTCTCCTTTGCTTTTTCTCTTTTAAATTTTTTTCTAGACAAGGTCTCAGTCTGTCACCTAGGCTACAGTGCAGTGGTGTGATCACGGCTCACTGCAGCCTCCACTTCCCAGGCTCAAGTGATCCTCCCACTTCTCAGCCTCCCAAGTAGCTGGGACTACAAGTGCACACCACCACACAAAGCTAATTTTTGTATTTTTTGTAGAGACAGGGTTTCTACATATTACCCAGGCTAGTGTCGAATTGCTGGGCTCAAGGGATCCATGATCCCCCTTGGCCTCCCAAAGTGTTGGGATTATATGCGTGAGCCACTGTGCTGGGCTTCATTGACATTTTAACTGTCTGTTCCTTGCCTAGATTCACAGAAATCCAAAGCTGTATGTAGCCAACATGGTTCACATTTGTTGGAAAATGTGTTGTTTGTTTGTTTTGCTTTTTTTTTTTTTTTTTTGAGACAGAGTTTCGCTCTGTCGCCCAGGTTGGAGTGCAGTGGCACAATCTCGGCTCACTGCAACCTCTGCCTCCTGGATTCAAGCAATTCTCTGCCTAAGCCTCCCAAGTAGCTGGGATTACAGGCGCCCACCACCACACCTGGCTAATTTTTTGTATTTTTAGTAGAGCTGGGGTTTCACCATCTTGGTCAGGCTGATCTTGAACTCCTGACGTCATGATCCACCCTACTCGGCCTCCCAAAGTGCTGGGATTACAGGCCCCTTGTTCAGCCACCGCACCTGGCCCCTTGTTCAGCCACCGCACCTGGCCCCTTATTTTGTTTTTCTAATATACTTTGATCCAATCAGCTTGAGAAAGCAACACAACTCCAAATTCTATCTTCTAGATGCAAGCAGTGTTCAATTTGTTAATAAATTTGCTTTTCACACCTTTCTCTAAATAAAAGGTATATCTCTCTCTCTTGTGGTTTCTTCCTTCTTTACATGAGAAGAAAATGACCTCCTTAATTGTAGTTTACTCATTCAAAAACCGCAAGTTCAGTTTGCAGGGTATGGATTCTCTATTAAAATCTCAGTAGCAATGGTGCATACAGCTACCAGGAAAACAAAGGCAACACAGCACTGCTCAAGTCCTTCCTTTAAATATAAAAGATATTCCTAAATGTAAAATCTACATTTGCTATGTTTTAAAAAATAAACCCATATATATTTGAAAATTCTTCAAATCAGAATATTTACAGAGAGTATACAAATATTGATATCTAGAATTAGATGCATAGAACAAGGAGTAAATCAAATTTTCTGCAAAAATCCAGCTTTTTTAGTTAAATATTTTAGTAATTTTAGTGATAGGAACTTTTTGTTGTTGTTGAAACAGGATCTTGCTCCATCACCCAGGCTGGAATGCAGGGGTGGGATCACAGCTCACTGGAGCCTCAACCTCGCAGGTTCAAGTGATCCTCCTGCTTCTCAGCCTCCCAAGTAGCTGGAACTAGAGGTGTGTGCGACCACAACTGGCTAATTCTTTTTCTTTTTTAAGGTAGAGATAGTGTCTCTACATGTTGCCCAGGCTGATCTCAAACTCCTGGGCTCAGGCATTCCTCCCACCTCAACTTCCCAAAGTGCTAGGAATACAGCCACCACACCCAGCCAATGGAACTTTTAAGCATACAGTAAAGTAGTGGCTCATAGAACCAGGAAGAAAGCCAAGTGCCCCGCCTCACATCTATGCAGGAGGCCCAACCCACACTGGGGTCCTGATGGTATCCCCCTGGAGGACTCCAGTGCAGACCCATCAGCTGGAACCAAAGCAGCCACTGACCAAGTAAGGCCCCTGGTCTGGAAAGCATCTTCCCCGCCTTGCTCAGGATGCTGTCCTTCACGGTGGGGGACTTGGACCCAGAGACACCCCTGTTGTTCATTTTAACTTGTGGTTTTTGATGATGGATTTAAGGCTTAGGGCTCCCTTAAAGGTTGGGAGAAAAGACACTGATGGGAAAGGGGTAGCTTGAAGAAAGACTCCAAGGTGATTCTCAGACTATCCCCTTCCCACCCCACCTCTCTGTGGTATGGGTAGGGCCCTTAATGTGCCACAAGGCTGTAGGCTGAAGTTAAATTCTGTTTTCCTGGATATAAACAGAAGATTCCAATCCTTCTAACCCCTTCCTCAGCTACCCAAGAGTCCAACCGTTATGTGATTATAGAAGAAAGGAACTTCCCTAATCCCTTGGGGCAAGTAGAAAGTGTGCCCCTGGCATGGATAAGGATATATATGTTGCGATTTGAAGAATTTACCTTGAAGTTTCACAGCTTTTCAGTGGCTGAGCGGGGATCTGACTGCTTCATCATGCCTCAGGAAACTGGGCTGCAATGGAAAACATGAACCTTTGAAAAACATCTTATAAAATGAGGCCCAAAAGTTCAGGTACTATATATGGAACACGGAAAACAGTGAAGCAAAAACTAATTTCTTGAGCAGGGTGCAGTGGCTCACACCTGTAATCCTAGGATTTCGGGAGGCCAAGGCAAGTGAATCACTTGAGGTCAGGCATTTGAGACCATCCTGGCCAACATGGTAAAACCCCGTCTCTGCTAAAAACACAAAAATTAGCCAGATGTGGTGATACATGTCTGTAGTCCCACCTACTCGGGAGGCTGAGGTGGGAGGATTGTTTGAGCCTGAGAGGCGGAGGTTGCAGTAAGTCAAGATTGGACCACTACAGTCCAGCCCGGGCCACACAGCAAGACTCCGTCTCAAAAAAAAAAAAAAAAAAAGAAATCTTGTTCTAAGTGACTGAAGCTGAGGCACTTCACCATCCCTTCTCTACTCTCCTCCTGAACATTTCATCAGTCCCTCAAATTCCTCCTCTATCTGCTGCAGTTAGTGTCAGAACATTATATTCCAATTAAACTCTAGGCAGAATTCTTGGTGGTCTGCAGCCAGTCCTGTCTGTATTCTGAGGGTCTCCAGCCTTCTGCTCCCATCCATTGCTCTCAGAGGTTCACAGGTCCTCTATCAGCCTATCTGAGGGCAGAATTTGCTAGTCCTCTAATGAGATTTTGCAGTTGCAGAATTGTGTTGCTCTATGGGATACAAATGTAGCAGCTGCAATTCTCAGGACATTTGGAGAACATTTCAGAAGAAATGCAGTCATTTTGGTTGTTCAGATGCTTTAGGAAAAAGGAACACTGACTGAGGGCTGGTGGGGATAGTGAATTTGAGTTTGGCCCAGAAGCTAAGTATTACTGAACAATGACAGAATTCCATTAAGCACCCTGGAGGGCCCCCCATCCCCTCCACAGCATGGCAACAGTGTAACAGGGCATTGGGAGGCTAAAAGAAATATTTATAGGCCTGGCTCACTCCTGTACTCCCAGAACTTTGGGAGGCTGAGGTGGGCAGATCACTTGAGGTCAGGAATTTGAGATCAGCCTGGCCAACATGGCGAAATCCCATTTCTACTAAAAATACAAAAATTAGCCAGGCGTGGTGGCACACGCCTGTAATCCCAGCTGCTCAGGCGTTGAGGCAGGAGAACCGCTTGAACCCAGGAGGTGGAGGTTGCAGTGAGCCGAGATCGCACCACTGCACTCCAGCCTGGCGACAGAGCAAGACTCCAACTCAAATAACAAAACAAATTGTAGAGTGAAGAAAGTCTTGGTGATAATCAGATCTGAGGCGCTTCATTAATAGTAATTTTTAAGTCTACCACTTAGATCTCTTAGATCTCACAGACAAGACACAGGAAAGATGCAATTACAGTTTCATTCTGTTTTGTCTTAGTTACTCTCAGAAGCAGACAAAATTCCCCCTGTTATATGATTCATTTTATTCACTTTGAGTCATTTTCTCTTCACTTCAGCAAATGGAATCACTAGTACTTATATACACTATATATACTGAGTAAGAATTGCTGAGGAATATATGTGGCATTATCAGATGGCATTATTCTCAGTGATTTCATCCCTTATGTCTCACAATAGCTGAGCCCAAGAGTTTTGATGTCATCTTGGATGACTGCATAGTCATAAGATGTATAAGTTTTATACATGCACAAACACAGGACGTGGAAACTCGAATAATGCCCAAACTACTTTACCTAAGTAATCCCTCTCTCCAGCATCTTCATTATTCCATCCGGCTTTTCCACTGACTCCCCCTTTCTCCTCAGTCAGCTGTGCTGCAGTTTTCAACTTCCACCACTTACTGAACATTTGGTCAGTAATTGAAATCCAACTCATCACAGCCCTACTCAACATGGATGACATCTGGCTTCTTATGTAAGCAAGGCCAGGTTAGAGTTATCTTTGGAATGAAAGCAGAATAAGTAAAGAAGATGGACATAGAGACCATTCTGAGTATCAATATATTAGAAAGGAATTGTCCCCTGAGAATTACCATTCTAACTAGATCCACAAACGCCATTCAAAAGCTAGGCTTACTGACAAAATATAAACCTACATCAGTAGCTCTACGGCAATAGCAGACTCCTGGTATCCCTGAGACTGGTGATACTTGCTAGTGGGACGGATCTCTTATCGATGGTCAGAT